TGAATCCCGGATCAGGCGTGGCATACGATTGCGTATTCATTTGCATATGAGTAACCGACAAAATATACAAAATTAGCGGAAGACTAAAACAGTGGGGACATGGGATGTTCATTTTTTTGCGAAAACATTCAGAACCGATAGTGGGACCACCCACTTTGGCCATGTCCCTTGTGGGTAGTAAGTTACTTGGTCCGCCACTCATATCAGTTTCTTTCAAGACCTGCCACTGCTATTTGGTAATTGAAGATGCAATGTCTACAATAGATCCTCGTTGAATCCCCAAATTGGATGGTTCCATACTAATCTGGCCAAAAATGCCGATCCATTGGTGCCTTTTGTTTTTGCCATGCCTATATATCTGGGTGGATTATAACGACCCCACAACAACCTCACCATAGATTATGATTCATTAATGAGTGGAAATCATCCCCAACTCAATGTTCAGGCTTGTGAACTATTGCAGTTCATCCAGGATATATCAGGTACCACGCCTTCAAAACCTCTGATGCTTGTGCTTCCTTTGTTCAAGCACTGAGCGTGCCCAAGAGTTAGTGCTCTAGTGCTCAGCAGCTGTTGTGGTGTGATCGACACTAATGTTTAAAAAAACCACTTACATTGTGTTTTCCACACATATGTTCAAGGTTATAATATGATGTAGATCATTCATCAATTCTACTTTGATCGATAATATAGCCTGACTTGTTTCCGTGCTCGCTGGTAGTTAAGGGTCTGGTCAGCAGTAAGAACGAGAAAATATTGGGCACTGAGTTCTTCAGCTGGCTAGTGGTTGATGGTCCCTCGGACTAAAGTGAAAATTCAGCGGTTGAAACTGGTTGAACCACCCAGAAGCCTACTATTTTGATGGGACACATGTTACCCGGTTGGTGGTTTGGAACATGAATTTTATTTTTCCATATTAACTGGGAAGAGTAATTCCAACTGGCGAACTCATATTTTTCATAGGGGTTGAAACTACCAACCAGTTACAAATATGTGGTTTGAACCGACAGCTTCCCATGACCAGGATTGTAATTTCAATGAGTTTTCATCGCTCAGTCATCAGTGTCCCCAAGGGTATGAAAAGAGTTTCCCTTCTCTTTGGAAAATAGTCCAATATCATCCAATATCTATTTTTCAGGATGTCTATGAGTCTATGAATTGCATCCGCAATTTTCTGTTCAAAACCAGTTGCATACATCCAATATAGAACTGTTGTGAAAATTTCATCATGTTCTTTGCAAAAAAATCCACCCATCTTGTTGGATTGAAGCGTTGATTCTGGGTCCATAAACCAGAGAATATACCGCAACCTGTGAAATCCCATATAAGGTATTTGATTTGAGCACTGCACACTGTCCGTTTGAAAAAAATTGCTGCAGACCATTCAGAAAACGTTGCTGCGGCCGCAGACGTTGGACTCCGTTGGACGGTTAAGCGATGTGAAGGGAAATCCACTGATTTTCTGCAGCGTTCCTAAGATTACCTAAGATTAGCGTCAGAAATCACCCATGATACCCTTTAATTCCAAGAAAACTTCAACTGTTTCAAGTCAAAGAAACCAGGCTTCAGCGCGTGGTATACTTCAGATTGTGCCATTTTCGAATGCCATATGGCTGTGCATGGCTGTGCCAGATGTCGCAACCAATCTCAGGAGCAGATTTGCGCATGGCGCCTTTTGAGTGCCACTGGCGATCGCCAAAGCCCATGGTTTTTCAAGAACCGTTTTGCACGCACGTTCCACCAAATTTGGAAGGAGATCGCTAGCAAGGTCACAGTGAACTGCGGTGAAGGTGTCATGAGTGTTGCAACCTACATCAAGCTACAATTTCATGGGTGACTGTGATTGACTGTGGTTTCGAGCAAGCTACTTGGTGACTTAGCCTGCTGAGTAAACAATTCTGCAATTATAAGAAGTAAGATTAATGAAGTCTGGTGATGGTAAGTCTCCATTTCTTGATTATTATATAATATATATATATACATATACACATACCATGTGTACGTGGATGAACCAACCATACTTTCGATTCACACAAAAACCGTAATTTTCAGCATCATGCACAATAGAGTCTCTGCGGATTGACTTTTTGGTAGTTCAATGTTGTTCACCATGGATGCAGGTTACCAAAACTCCATTTTGCCCCACCGCAGGAACGGCTGGGAACCAAAGGGGTCTACCAGCCAGTGGCAGTGAGTGTTGTCTCCAGCTTTCTCGGGGGAAAGAAGCCGCAGAAGCAGCAGCTGAAGTTTCACAGGTGTAGCAGTGTAGCAGACATCTCAGTGAATTGTAAGGAGGAGGATGGAGGATGAAGATTGGTAAGTTGCGGTCAGTGGTATGATTTTCTGCCTAAAGTTGTGAGTGAATAGGATGGAGCAGACATGTCAAAGATGGTCAAAGTATGCAATAAATTCATCGTCAGCAATGGAAATCCAATCAGCAAAGATGCTTCAGTGGTACCCGGTCACCTTGGACCAAAATCGAATAAATTTCGATGCTCGTTGGTCGGGGCCTTTTATGTATATGTATGCCATTGTATACCAAACATTGCGCAGTTGAATTCTGAATCACGAGTATGCAGATTTCTCCTTTGGATTCCTTTGGATTCCTTTGAGGCTGCAGTGATTGCTGCTGCTGGTGACTTGATGACCTCCGCGAACTGACAAGCCATGACAAAGCTGTCATTCGCTATCATTTGGGAGTTGAAAGAAGTCCGGGGCGATTCATTTACTTATTTGGAAAATTAAAGACAATTATCTATACCTATCTACATAATTCTACGTAGATGATGGACAAAGTGCGTAAAGTGTGAAAGGAAACATGACCATATCACTTCAATTCACTTTAGCCATCCGTAGATTTCCCCCAACAGTCGAGTTTCTGCGTGCTGCTTCCGCGTGTCCCAGGGTGAAGTTGTGTGCCGAAGACCTGTCGCAAACGGAGTCTGCGGCTCGGCAGCCGAACGGGGTCGTAAACGGAGTTTACCACTCGGCCGCCGAACGGCTTTGGAAGATCGGTTCTGAAACGTGGTGAAGTTGTGAGCAAATCCATGCATATCCTGGCTTCAAACATCTTCGAACTGTGGAGTCCTTTTAAACTCAGGATTTCCTTTTTAATATCAAGGGATTTTGACATCGAACCACCACAACATGGGAATTCAACAGCAAAATGGGAGTAGGGCGAGTAAGATATAGTACGTGGCCCATTGGTTATCGACCAGCTTCGTGTTTCACGCTTCCCACTTTAGAGTGATTCCGACTGACAGAGTCACAGGCCATATGTTTGGTATTAGTATCTTAGGATTAAAAAAAACCTAGCCAAGCCAAGGGAATACTAATACACCCAAAGCACCTGCAGGGCGAAATCGAATTACATCCGCTTTAGAGTTGGGGTTAATCCCCCAGCAAGCCTTCGCTTGGGCCTCGTGCCACTTTGGACACCTAGCAGTCCTTCATCAGGGGGATAGAGGCTAACCTTCTGGGGTACGAACTTGACCAGACTTGAATAGACACCCAACTCCAATCCAAATTTATAGATGTGGGGATGGGTCAGCACCGATGATTTTCCTTTTTTTCCGTGATCAAACAGGATTTTACATCCACTTTCATGGTGACGAGCAGGGTGTTTGACGGGGTTTGGACCCATAGTCATGTGCGAGTTATGCGCTGGCATTCGACTCCGTCGTGACGGATTTCTTAAATGGGGTTTAATCTTGACAGTGGCTTAAAGAATCTTTTAAAACACACATCTTATATAATATATAATGAGTACAAGAAAATCATAATTGAATCAACAATCATCATCTAGTTGGTGGTTTGGAATATGTTTTTATTTTTCCATTTCAATTAATTAATTGGGAATAATCATCCCATTTGACTTTCATATTTTTCAGAGGGGTAGGTCAACCACGAACCAGTCATTGTTTGACCTTGACCCACAACAATTGTGGCTGGCTCCCGATCTTCCTCTTCCTGAGACCTCTGTGCTGGCGCCTCCAATGTTTCCCGTTGTCTTTGGCTCGTTGTTGCGGCCAGCTGCGGGAGGGAAAAGCGAAAACCATGCCGTCTTCATCCCTGGTGATTGATGAATATATTTGGACTTATATATATACACTCATTCAGTGGGATTATCAATATTTAATGGGGACTCAATATTGATGGCTTTATGTTTGTGAGCAGGAAGCAACAAACATGGGAACAGACCCGTGATAGTAGATGTTTTCAAAAAATTGTGGCTATAATAGTGGTGTTGTATGACAGTAGTCATGTTTGTTGCCTTCATGCATATATTATAGTCATTACAGATGATTACAGTACAGTGATTTTATACTGGCATTTACCGTTTCCATTGAGATGCGGGCCTCCACTCCAGCTGTTCCCTGAGGCTTAAAATCCGAGTTGACGTCAGGCCCATGCTAGCAGAAATGGACATTCAAGAATCCTCAAAGAATACATGATTTATAGCAACCTCAAACAACGTCAGCAAAAGACTGGCTAACCCGATGATTTTTCCAGCGAACCAAACCTCCATTGAGTTCGTGGATTTTCCAGCCACGGTTGAAGACCGGATGCTAATAGTGTTGGGAACAACATCAAGACTTATCAGGTTCGGGATTTTGTTATATTTCTTGACTCGACGTGTGCCGGTCGTTCTTGGCTGTGAGCTTAGAAACACTTTTCAAACAGGCAATTGTGTTATATCACTGAAATCAAGACTCGCAAAAAATGATTGAAATCGGAAATGTAGATGAGATGATGAGTATACATATATGCTGCCATGAGGAGATCAGAGAACAAGTGATCGAATTGTGGCACCACTTTTCAAACAAACTGAAACGTAGAAAACAAACTGAAAACGACACATATATTTGATGTTAAACACACTGGAACACAGAAAACACATTAATATATTTAATTATATACATATAATTACAATTATATAGATAATCATAGTACATCCGCCAAAGATCGTACAAAAACCATGGCAGCGGGTCGAGACTGACATGGCTTGCAGGGGCCCTGAGCTTTGGTGAACCTCAGCAGACCGCGGGGTAGATGTACGTAGAACATGGGAACCATTTTGAATGGAGATGTATATTGAGAATATCATGGGATACATATGGGACATAAAGTTATACATATGCGATATATAACTTTTATAATCAACAACACCTTCATTTAAGAATGATTGTGAAAATGCATGTTTCATTGGTGTTAAATCTATTTCCTGTTTGATTTTCAACTCAAGTATGCATATGGGTGAGTATCTTGGCTGACGCGCGTTCTTAGGGATGGCCTGCAACAAAGCTGGCCTGCGCTATTTTCAATGGAGCTGATATCCAGGGGAAAATGTCATGATCAGAAAATACGTGGACATTCTGACATAGCAGTGAGCAGTTCTGAAAAGGGAAATCATGGGAAAATCATGCACCCTGGACGACTCGCGACCCTTCAAGGTGTTCCATTCAGAAGCATCCTGATCGGAAGAACCGATCATGAGATGCTCGTTTGTGATCCACAATGACCCAAGGACCCCACAGATGTTGGTTGCTGAGACTCTTGATTTTGAGCCATTTTTTGCGATGTCCTTATTTCCACCCAAAACCAGTGAGTAGTCCCCACTTTTGTGCGCAGTAAGGCAAGCAGAAAGCAGAGGAGTCACCGGCCCGTTGATTCTTGAGGGTTTGTTTGTGTGATGAGATTTGGATGTGTATAGAAACAGGGTATCCATAAATCCACCGGTTAATCAGAATTTCCCTAAGTGGAAGCTTGCGCCCCTGCAAGCCTGGGTTTTGCGACGGCACTGTAGCAGTTTGGAACCACAGAACCCCAATTGATGACCGAGCTTTTCGGGTTAGGGAAATATTTTTCAATCGATCCAAAGGTTTACAGCCTGAGATTCTTCACTTCATAAATGGCACATCATGTACAGTAGCTAGCCTATGGTAATCGAACATGGTTGGTACTGGAACACCCCATCAAAACATGGATGTGTGTTGTAGAGGAGTTTCCATTGCCAGCCGGGCGTTCTGACATTCCATGACATTCCCATGATTCTTCCATGGTCAATGATTGAATCGCCCATAAAGTATAACCCACAAAATAGGCTTGCACCATCCATTCCTACACACAGATCCTGAGGATTACAGTTTGCCCAAGCCCAGAATAGCGTACCAGGGAATTCTGTACGACGTCAAACAACAGGAAGCATTTCATGTTCAATTATGTTGCTAGGGTGTTAACCAGAACATGTTGCTTCTACATACCATATAACCAGCACATGTCGCTTCTACATATCATATGGAATTAACCATACAGCAGGGTTTCTTATAGGCTTTCCAGAAGATATCATAATCCCCCGGCCCCATGGAAAAAAAATATCATACAATCATGAGTCATTAGGGATTCTTATAGGATTTCAAGAAGATATCAAAATCCCCCGGTCCCATGGAACAATTAACCATACAGTCATTAGGGTCTCTTCTAGGGTTTCAAGAAGATATCAAAATCATCATCATAGTCGTCGTCGTCGTCGTCGTCATCTTGGCTTGCCTGGACGCTCGTTGCGAGCCCGGGCAAACCTCAGGGTCTTGCCGTATTATTATTATTATTAGTAGTAGTAGTAGTAGTCGTTGTAGTAGTCGTTGTAGTAGTGGTGGTGGTAGTAGTAGTAGTAGTAGCAGTAGCAGTGGCAGTAGCAGTAGCAGTGCCAGTAGCAGTGGCAGTAGCAGTAGCAGTAACAGTGGCAGTAGCAGTAGCAGCAGTAGCAGCAGTAGTAGCAGTAGTAGTAGTAGTAGTATATTATTGTTATTATTAATATTATTTATTGTAGCCATAGACATTTTTCCATCTTTATGTACCAATTATTCTCCCCCTTGTATCTGGGATGGCCATGGAGCGATCCTGTTGGTTGGTTGGAAATAGGTTAATCAGATCCCATTGAATGCCCCAGTATATCTCAATGTTTTCTGGTTGACCTGATTAATTCAAGCAGACTGTGCAAGTAAAATTGTGCAAAATACCACCAACATCCGGTAACATAATCTAACATACCAATCTTTGTTGATTACCCTCTGGTAAACTAACATAACTATGGAAAATCACCATGTTTAATGGGATGGCCATTTTCAATAGCTATGCTAGTCATTACCAGAGGATAAATCCCACAAAAGATGATTGGTTGCGACCCAGGATCCACTGATTTTTGAGATCCAAAAAAGTCCTCGCTCCAGGACAACCTTTTTGCCGTAGTAGAGAAGTTGGTTCAGACAGCTGCTTGGCAGTCTACGATCCATGGACAATCCATGGACAATCTATTGACTGGATTCATGCTTGGGAAAATATTATATCCGAAGATCTTTGGGGTGTGTGCCTTTTTTAGTGAATACGAACAGCTTTGGGATTAAACATTGCTCCAGTTTAAATCTATTTAAATCTATTCCCTCAAAGATAGACATGTATTTCCAGGATGGTAGTTCGATGATGTTTTTCCATACTTTGCATATTTATATATTTCCCATTTTTCTGGTATCTTTTGTTTATGTGATGTGCTATATAATAACTGATATAACTGCCCAAAATTGATGCGGAGGTCCATAAAACCCTTTTGTGGCATTATTAAAGCTGGATCTCAGCTGCCTTGACCGCAGAAGATCATTCATAGATTTTGAGCAATCTGTGACCCATCTATACCATCCCGGGTTGCGGGAAATGACTTGACCCGGGTCATATCCCCACACGTATCTATTTTCAAAAGGTGTCGTTCATTGGATACAGATCACCATTGATTTGTGCATACTTGGTGGGCAAGTGGCCAAGTATTGCTATCTTCCATCATATTCTTTTTCCAGCTGTTTCTTGATGAGATTTTCCTGAAACAATCTTCATTTAAACATCCCCAAGCAGTTCCAAGTTAAATCCCAACGTTTGATTATTTTCAATCTAGTTTTAGCATGTTTGAGCATCAAATTTGGTCGCAACACCATGGTGATTAAATCCTATCTCTTGATTATGTTCAATCCTTTTATATATTTTTTTTTGAATGACACATCACCATCTAAATTAATGTTCATTAATCTCGACCAAGGGTTACATATGATTACATTAAAACCTAGTGAATTCTATAAACCACTCATGTTGATGATGAATTCGGCGTCGCTACGTTTGCTACGTTTGCTTCAGGCCACTCTGGCCAATCATCGACGAAATCTCAGGACAGCGAGCCGCGGGTTGCAGCCCAAAATGGGGATTTCACCAGCACAAAATGGTGATTTCACCAGCACAAAATGGGGATTAAAGCTGGAAAACTGGTGATTTGACCAACAAAACATACCGCAACAAGACCGAGATTTTTTTTCCAAAGTCAGGGCCTTCTCCAACATTGGTCCATGTGGAGGAGCCAGCGGTGTGCAGGTTGCCCCATTGCATCTAGTGGTTAATCATAATTTTCCGTATTCAAATGGCAATGAATGGGGGTTTACTCTGTATATATAACATAATATAATATAATATATAATATAATATATAATATAATATAATATAATATAATAATATATAATATATAATATATAATATATAATATAATATAATGTAATATAATATAATATAATATAATAATATAATATAATATAATATAATATAATAGAAAATAATAGAAAATAATAGAAAAATAGAAAATAATATAATAATGTAATGCAATGTAATGTAATGCAATGTAATGTAATGCAATGTAATGTAATGTAATATTATTTATATTTATATCCTCGTTTTCAGGTACCAGACACGACATCAAGAAATAGTTGTTGAAATGAATATCATTTCACATCCTTGTTGTTTTTCTGGATACCGGTGGTGTTTCACCCCAAGTGGCACCCAGTCCACCCAGTCATCCACCCCACCCAGGACGGCGTCGAACTGCCTGAGACGAGCCTATGCCATTTGCACCAAACAGGTGGAAAGTGGCTCCTTTGCAGGTGCAGCTGGGCAGGAACGATGAAACGATGAGGGGGCTGATCTAATCGTTAGATGCCTATGCTGATATTGTGGGGATAATATGTTTTATCTATATATATACATATAATGAGGACAAGTGAAGTATGAATGGGATATGATATTTCATGCATACATATATAAATCTACTATGGGAACTGATCGGATACAATGGGGATATGATAGTGTGAACTATTAATGGAATATTTTTTATGGAATTCGGATTAATACCCTCCAGTGTCATCATCTCGGCTAGAACATGCTAGAAAATCCATCAGCATGTTCGATGATATGCCAAGCGAACAAAACCTGCATTTAGTGAAAAGGGATTTCGCATCATGTTTGATTGCCAGAGGGTATTTGTTCAGCATCAAAGCAACTGTCTATTCTTAAATGTATTGATCAATGTGAAAAAACTGTACATGTTGGGTGAAATTATCGCCAAACACAATTAAAAACATAGGATTTTACTGTATTTGTTTCCCTCTAACCAATCTTACGACTTCTGTTTTGTTCTTTAAGATTTCTGTTTGTTCGTTTCCCCACCAGGCTACACATGTATATCCAGAAACGTCCTGTCAGTTCTTACTACTGTATGTGTCTATGTGCTTAGCTTTTTTTTACATAGCGCTCTCTTCATACTGCATGACATGTTGTCGGAATATACATGTGATTGTACATATGCCTACATGTATTTTATACAAATAGCTGAAATAATACTCCAATATTGTTTCAGTAGATTATGTATGTATATATATATATATATATGTCAATCCCCCAAAAAATAGAAAAGTAAAATCACACGAGAGTAGTGATAAACTATTATTTTTGTTTGGTGGTTTTTATTATTTGTATCATAAGAAACGTCAACATTATTGGTAGATCCATAAGAATAACACATAACCAATTTGTTTGATAAATATCAAAAGAAAGAAAACATGCTGTATCTGTCATATATTATTTGGTTGTTATCAAAATTGGGTAGGTGTCAGTTTTTATATCCCCTAAAAACCCTATGGTTATAGAAATGCCGAAGAGGTCAACTTGTCAACCGCGTTGTGAACCGGTTGAACCTCCACGCCGTAGGCCGGGTGTGTCGTGCCATGGTGACTCTGCAGCTTTGTGCCTTGAGTTCCCGGGCGGGACAACACGCAGAGGCGCTGGAAGAGGCGCGTTGAGCCGCGGACTGGGATGGTTAATACGGGAAGCAACGGTCGGATGGGATGTATGGATATATGGATCTGCTATGATATATGTATGATATATATATATATGTGTATACATTATTAAGATATTATATATTCATTTTACTCGAGTCTGGATAAATTATATTGTGACCTCACGTCATGACGTCACTGGAATGATGGCTGCAAGTTTCAGCTATTCTCCGGCGAATGGTTTGAGTTGAGCCAGAATACTGGGATGTATAATGGGCGTAGTAACCCCTACAATAGATCAAACAGTGATTTATCACTACTTTAGTGGCATTTTACTTGTCTATCTTTCTGACGATTGCTTTAACCAACAATACGATATATGTGGTATGGTCATCCATCCCATGCCATGAAAATTCAAACATCATGGGTGTGTATACATATCCCTTTCAAAATGGACTGATGACCACCTCCCAACGCGCGCATGTGATCCAGCTTTTGACCGTGGCACATATGTGCTGATCATGTTTTATCAAAAATATGATGGGTCAAAACCTATCTTACGATACTTTGGGGGAATGAACATACATCAACCCCGATTTTGGTGTCGAGATACCAGGGTTTATTTTAGCTATAGCAATGTTTATATGTTAATAGGTATTTGTGTATGTATCTATGAATATTATATATATACATGATTATATATGTGCATATGCTGAGTCTTCTGAATTACAAACAGAAGTCTTCCCAACTGGTGTCCCATGGGATTTTGGTTGGATGGGGTGCTGAAGTTGACTTCCCTCAGGCCTTGAAAGCTGTTTTAGAAGCCGAGGAAGTCTGGAGCTGCTTGGCTGGGAAAAGCCGCGGGGCCGAAGTGTGGAGCGGGCAACTTCGGAAAGTGAGTTCTAGTTCAAAGGATATTCGAATTGCCAAAACCCAAAGTCTGTGGACGCTTGAGCAATTGCTGTTTTTTTGGGTTCAACTTGTTTAACTTCTCAAATCTAACTCAGAAATGGAAATCCAACAAGATGTTCCGATGACGTTCAAAGGTCAACATTCCAATTCTATCTTTCCTATTCATGTTTTATCATGTGAAATGAAGTCAGCATATGTCAGGGCAAATTGCTGGTTCTGGCAGACACCCTACGTGATGGCTTGAGATCACTAGATGGTGATACAGAGATGTTTTTAGAGGCGTGCCTCGAACTATTGTAAGAACATTACAAGCTTACATGGTTAATGTTGTTGGTACCTTGACAGTTTTGCAGGAAATACTGTCAAGGTATGTTAAGGTTATCTTTCCCAGTTATGTTTGTTGCTTAATAAACCCAATGAATACTATACTTACAGCTGTTACAATAGTTAGAAGTATCATACATCATAGGTATGGGATTTATGTTCACCAATTTATTTATCATAAATCAGCTATTATCCGGTGGAATCCCAATTGTTTGTTGGCTAAATCACAGTTCAAAGTGCTTCCAACCACTGAAACTCACAACTCGCCCAAGGTGCCATGCATCACGGGACGACTTCGGAGGCCACGCGAGTACTATCGATTACTGGGGACACACACACACACATATTATATATATACACATACACAATCGTATATAGTCATATCATATAGATACATATATATATATATATTATCATACATATATATATATATATCATACATATATATATATATACTATCATGGTTCATCCTTTGTATTCTATTAAGTACATATATGTTTGCGCCGTCCGTGAAGGGTGTCGCGCAGATCCACCAGGTGTCTTCCAGCTGGTCCCCTAACTTGGTGTCGCGCGCTTTGGCTGTCTCTTGGTCGAATTCTATCCCCCCCCTGTCCATGTGACAAATCATGGTGATTTAATGGGCCTGGGGATATAATGGGACATACATATTTATTTACATATGTATATCGATCGATAGATAGATAGATAGATTGATAGACAGATAGATAGACAGATGGACAGATGGACAGATAGACCGATCGGATAGATAGACCGATCAGATAGATAGATAGATGGATAGGATAGGATCGGATAGGATAGGATAGGATAGGACAGGATAGATAGGATAGATAGGATAGATAGGATAGATAGGATAGATAGGATAGATAGGATAGATAGGATAGGTAGGATAGATAGGATAGATAGGATAGATAGGATAGATAGGATAGACAGGATAGATAGATTAGATAGATTGGATAGATTAGATAGATTGGATAGATTAGATAGATAGGTAGATAGATAGATACATCGATAGATAGGTAGATAGACAGTTTGGTAGGTAGGTAGGTAGATAGACAGACAGACAGACAGGTAGATAGGTAGGTAGGTTGGTAGATAGGTAAATAGATAGATAGGTAGATACATCGATTGATCGACAGATCGATAGATAGATTGATCGATTGATTGATTGATAGATTGATAGGTTGATAGATAGAGTGATAGATTGATAGATTGATAGGTGGAAAGATAGTGAATTCTAATGATTTGGGTCAAACTTAAGGACCCCAGGACTTGTCACTTTCAAAAGTTCCCTGCCCTTGTTACCCTTGTTGCGCCTCCACTGCCCTTGTGGACACAGATTCTTGGGATATTTCAGAGCAGTTTCTGGTTGGTGGTTTCAAACATTTTTTATTCTCCATAATATATGAAATAATCCTTCCCATTGATTAATATTTTTGAGAGGGGTTGAAACCACCAACCAGGTTTGTTTGCATGAAGCGCCTTGCACTTGTAAGAAGTTAACGTTTATATACATAGAACGTTTTCCGGTTGTCGCTGCACAAGCATGGGCGGGAAGGACAAACACCCAGAGGGGGATATGAATCACCAACTGAAAATGGATACCCTCTGGCCCTTTGGTAAACGTTTACATAGCTCTGGAAAACGCACCATTTACAGGTGATTTACCTGTTGAAATCGTGATTTTCCATAGCTTTCTTTTAACGTTTACCAGGCCGGGTAGTTTGACGATTCGGAAACCAAATCGGGGTCCAAATCGCGGTGGATATAGAGAGATAGTGGCGGTAGATTTGTGCCCATTTTGATATGTGGTCCATAGTTTCGATGTGTTCAAGATATTTCAAGTAGTCACTTTACATTGCAAGTTGATCATCATGTTGCAATTCTTTGATATGTTGTAGATGGTTTGAACACAAAATTGGTTATTATTTTTACCGTGATAAAACCGACCAGTCAGATCTTGCTGTACATGATGGGCATCAAGCTCCAGTTTCCGCAAGTCAAGGATTTTCCAATGGTTTCCTATATGTTTGTTGCTTCAATATGTTTCTTCATGGCAACATCTCATTTGTGTTGGTTCCAAGTATTTTTATTGCTGCTAAAATGATGTTTTTTACTGAGCCAGATATCCAGTTCGTTCAGTTCTTGAAATCCGGTGCAAGCGAGGCCCTGGTGCAAGCGAAGCACTGCGTGGCCATTGAACTCGAGTGCGCTGGTCCCAGAAACCAACTTGTTAGTTGGCAAGTTGGGTTCTTTAAGAAAACTTGCTCTTTTGCGGTACATGGGGTTAGATAAATGATGATAAATGTTAGATATACAATTTACGTGTGTTTACATATCATGCTGATATCTACTTATGCAGCAGTGCTGCGACTGCCTTGACTGATGACTGAAGCCACTCCCAAGAGAAACTACAAGTCTAAAGCACGTAAGCAAAGAAAGTTGAGCAAGATGTTTGTTGACCTGCAAAGAAGCATGGGTCTGATCATTCTTCGTCAAATACCCCTCTGTAATCAAACATAGCAATGGAAAATCCACCATTGATTCATTGATATCCATTTCTAGATGATTTTCCCAGCGAACTAAACCTCCATTTAGTTCAGGGATTTTCCAGCCACGTTTGACACCGGGGCCCTCCCAATCACTTGCCATCAGGTACAACTTGGCGGAGAAGACGAAAGCCCTGGGACGAGACTTGCCCGAGGTGGGGGCTGGGCCCCGATCTGATGTTAACCACAAGCTGATGCCCCCTGGATGATAGCTAAGTTGTTTCTGACTCCAATGATTTGCGGTGGATATAGCTATAGTATGCTATATCTGATTGATAAATCCTCCAAGTAGTAGATTTACCTACCCAACAAGAAGCAAAAATGTGGTGGACACTGACACCAAGAACTCAAGAACATGTTATCTTCCAGACATGCCAAGAACATCCAAGAACATGTTCATGGGCCCATGGGGCTATACGGCTATACCATGCTGTACCCCGATCCAGCAGCCTGAGTCGGTATGAGTAAAAATTGATGCGGAGATCCGGATGTGTCCATCATGGTGAATGGGACAAGAACCAACCAGGAATTTTTGGAGTTGCTCCAGCAAGGACACTTTTTTGACATAGGGAATCTTCACCGAATCTTCACTAGCATGACAAAACAACCGTTTCCTGTCGTTTGTGTTTCTTTGGTTTCCAGGACAGGAATGGACATGAGAATTCTAGTGTATCGCATTGATATAGCTAAAGAACCTCAGCCATAGATTGCGAAGGTCTGGCAATCACCTTCTGGAGCCAGCAATCTTTGGTAGCCAGCTTCTGGGTTTACTACATGTTTGATTCAAACTGAGTTGGAGTAAACTATGTACAACTAGACAATGATTCAGAGGAGATAGAGGACATGTGTGCTTGATGTTGCCACGTTTCTTTTGCGTTGCCTCAAATCTTCTCATGTTCTGCCCTTACGTGGGACATGTGATTCCTCTCACTATACGTAGGATATTCTCATGATGGGTTGCGGTTAAAACCACCAACAATAACCCAGATCACCGCTGTAATGTGTATAGACGTATCATAATATAAACAATAAATCAAACAATATATGTATATATAGGATTATATAGGTAATTACACAGTATACTATTTATAATATGTATGACTACATGGTAAGCGGCTCACAGAATGCCACCTGTTTTTCCAACCGTGGCGAGTTCACTTTGTCTGTGGTCTCTCAATATGTCGTGCTTTGGTCCCCTTTTTTTTTGACTCTCTGAATTCCTACGACAAACTACTTTGTTTTTTTCAATTTCTTCTTGTAAGACTGTACTTCTCTTGTTTCACATGCGTTGCAGGACTTGAGTCAAATATCTATAGACATCATCTGCACCTGAGCAAGGTGTCTGCATTCTGTACAACCATTGTTTGACCAATGTATCCATCTCGGGGTGCAGCTTGGATCCCACATTCCCTTTCATTTTGCAAGGGGATGCAAATCCCACATTCCCTTTCATTAGAAGTTACTTGAACAAGTGCAGAGCGTAGCATCAAGAGACGTGTTGGAAGTTATTCGAAGAAGTGCAGAGCGTAGCATCAAGAGACGTGTTGGAAGTTACTTGAAGAAGCGCAGAGAGTAGCATCAAGAGACGTGTTAGACGCAGTGTGAACATGACGTTATCACCCACCCCACCGAGACAGGAAACACACGAAAGCTGCCGGCGTTCTACAAGCCGCCAGCCAACTACATACACATGTGGAACATCTATATTCCTCTAGATTTAAAATTACCCTCTGGTAATTTAACAGTTCGCTATTGAAAATACCCCAGTTATAGTGAGTTTTCCCATGAACAGTGGTGTTTTTCCATAGTTTTTTGTATGTTGACCACAGGGTATTTTACCAACGTTTTTACACTCCTCCGGAGGCTGACATGATCCGCGAGCAGATGATTCCGTCGCTCCACCGGGAGGCCGACGGCATATTCCGTCGGCGCGACTGGTGAATCAGTGATGTTTTTAGTGGTAGACCCCAATATCCCACCAGAAAAACCATACCCTGGGTTTGTTTGGTGGGTGATGTTTTATCTAGGAAAATCCATGATTCAGGGAATCTATAGGGCATATGTTCCGGTTTTTTGGGAGACCCTGAAGCAAATCAAAGATACAACACCTCAATGACTCAATGTTTAAAGTGAGTGTGTCTGGAAATGGGATAGGTACGCGCCAAAAACTGCCAAGGGGCCAAGGATAAAGCCATGAAATTTAGGTCAGAGAAACCGAAGGTTATAAAAGCACGCGAACAACAAACGGAAAAACATGGTTTTCTCTGGAAAAAAAACATACTGTGGACGTACAAAATCCTGCACCTGTTGGTAACTATTAGATAACTTAATTCAACACTGTTTATCTTATGGGATTACAATGGAATTTTGCCAATCTACCAGCTGGTGCAGGATTTCGCAGCTATCCACACTAACTATGGAAAATCCATGATAGGTCAAGTATCTATAAATGGACCATTTTCTATAACCATGTTCATTTACCAGTGTCAACATTACTCTATATATATATTATCAATTGGTATCATATCATATCATGTCAAATCATATCATATCATATCATATCAACATTACCCATATCTGTAGATCTATATGTAATCAGGGTATATCCGGGTACCCATATCTATAGAGGTATATATAGTAATACCCTTATCATGGTATATATGGGTGTATATATATATATATATATATATATATATATATGTATACATATACACACACACATTATACCCAACATCGCATCATTTTCCCATGGAAAAAAAACATGGCCCGGCCGTCCCGAAGGCCTCCGCTCTGGCGAGACGCCTGCCCTCCTCCAGCGCCTTGCGGCGCCTGTCGGAACGGACCCAGGCCAGCTGAAAGAATGGCAAGAATGGCAAGGTAAAGCTATATGTATAGATGATATGTTTATAGGATCCGTATATATATATATAATTATTTATATGTATATAGTAAAAATTGGCTAAACATGGTAAAGCAATAGGACCCCTTTTAATCTTTGACAAAACTGATCTGCAACGCATGTAATAGGAATGTGTTATGTATATATATAATAGTTTTACCAATCCCCAATGATATCTAATATTATATAGTGCATATGGGGATGGTATTTTCATGTTGAATCCATCATCCCCAAAGACTTACCAGATATAAATGGCTGGGATTGAAACCATCAATCCATATTAGGCGGGTTTATTGCTTAATATCCTTATTACACATACTCATCCGTTGTGTCATATGATCATATTGTAGCTGCGATTTTCTTGGTTGATCATCGATGGAAGTTTGTAGGGAAAGTCATCGAGCTAAACAGTATGTTTTCCGGATGTTGGGTCATTTTGTACCCCTAAACGGATGTTGTTGCAATGATGCAACACTGGGGGTTGCCACTAGCTGGAAACATTAGGGTCATTTTGTACCCAAAAAACCCGATGGTGAAAAACTGAACGACCTCTCGACCTCTCTACAAGGTCACCAATGACAAGCAATTTTTTGCGCGAATTGTGATGGATTCAGCCACTAAGAGACCGCAAAAAGTCACATCCAGGTTCAACGAGAATTCAGAAATAATCCAGCGGCGATCCATTTGCATTGATCAAGGGACACAAGTTGCAAGGAGTTTGAGGTCATAAAATACGCCTCCAGAGCCGGCTCTGGAGGATGACTTTCGTGGAAAGCATTGGGTTTCATGTTTTCTTTTGGGATAGTATATGATGTTCATCAATTGCATGGTTGTAAATGTTAATAATATGGATTAAGAAATTATTGTGAAGGATTGTCTTGAAAAGAGGGTACCGTGGTTTATTCGCTGCTTTATCATCATGGTTCCTGTTGAATTTTCCACAACTTGCGGGGTTGTGCCCCATTGTCAGGCAGAACAATAGGGTATGGTTGTGTGTCCATATCCCACTACATTACATCATGGTATATATATATATAAATTAAGCCTACAATTATGGCCCTTAAAAGTTTTAAATGGGATTATAACTGATAATTCCTGCAACTAAAGTTATTAATGGGGTTACAAACCAGTTACACGTGTTAAGGGCTACAACTGTAGTTATCACCGTGTACAGGCCCAGGAAGCGGCACGCCGCGGCAGCGAACTGGAAGGCTGGGCCAGTTTGCTATGGAAGCCATGACCCAGTCGTAGATGATGATTTAGCTCTTAAACATTCTCAAACATATGTAAAACATGTGATTATTCAGAGATATGTTAGATTACCAGAGGATATATGATAGGGGTACAACGTGATAATTGTGATTTGTATATGATCTTGTCATAAATTATCCATGGACATATATATATATACATAATTATATATATACATTGTATCCATGGATATCTATGGGCATTTAATGATGGATATGTTTTGGAATGTGATATGTGCCATGGTCAAAACATTGGCTATTTTCCCATATTGAGGGGGTGGTCCTACGATGTCGTACCTCCGTTGGGTATTCCAATTATGAGATGGATGACCATACTCATATACCATGTTTTGACCATGGCACACATGGGATATGGGACATACTATGGATATACTGTGATATCCTGTATATCACCAACAATACCCTCTGGTAAATAAACATAGACCCTGAAAATCACCAATTTTTAATGGAAACTAGTCTTCCAACCCCGACAACTGCCAGGGTCTATGTTAATTTACCAGAGGGTATGATATGATGATTTCTGGCTTTGTCCAGAAATGGGGGGAAAAACACGAGAAAAACCACACCACAATGGCGTTATTTTCACCGGGAAATCATTGGATCGATCTCACCATGGGAAACTGATGGCTAGGTTAGGGTGGATCATCCCAACATGAATTACTTCTGGCCCATAAGATTGAAGGTGATGTGTAATGTCAACAAGGGATCAATGGGTTTAAACCCCCGTGGGTCGAATTCAGGGGCTAACCGGCTAACCATGTCAAAAGCGTATTCGATATCCACTTTCTTGGGGAGTAATCCCGATAATTTGTCAGCGCCAACCAGTATTTCATGGAATGACCGCGGGTTTTAAACATTGCACCAATCTGTCAACGGGTCGCTGAACAAAGTAGGAATTACCCTTACATCAAGCACAACCACTTGGTGAGGGAAAAACAAGATACGGTCAGTTGCATCTTGTCAAATCAATATGTGGAATCCAAAATCAATCCCCGGAATTCAACATAACATTAAAACGAATCCAAAATGAACATTTGAACATTCAATCATCTTCCAAAGTCACGTTTCAGGGTTTTCCTGTGCTCGTTGCCCTGGCAGATTCCGTGGAGGATGTGCTACCAATTGCAGGTCGTTCAGAGTTCGAATGCTGTTGGCTGGGGATTATGACATATTCTGCTGGGATGAATCCGGAAGGTAAAGAAACATGAATGATGAATGTGTGATGAATGTGTCAGTTAGCAATATACATACATGATATGTCATGATATGTCATGATATGATATACATGTATAGATGGTGTATAAATATATATATATACGCATACATTAATATATATTATATAATATACTGTATACATAATATCCATACTTGCGATCCACATGTGGTGAGTCTGTGGATCATAGCATTTGCTTCCAGGTAGCACGTAGCACAAATCAGTGTCGCAAGTTGATTCCCTGGACCATGGTCTTTCCATGTTGTTCCTGGTCGGTTTTTCTTGGCTAAGAACATATGGATATTGTTGGAGGAAGCCTCATACACTCACGGTTTATTTCACAATGATTACTCGGCAGTAATGTTATTTATGCATCACAAGTATGCCGGGGACATGTTCATTTTTACTTTTGGCGGTGAGCAGAGGAGTTCTTTGAGTCTGCCACATTTGGTAGATCCCCAACGGACGAAGATCGGGTTGAAGACACCAGACTTTGACCAACAAAACACCAAGCAGATTTTGAATATCAAATCAACATCAATGTAGGACATCAAGTTCATATCAATGTAGGACATCCTGTTTACACCAGTTTCAATCCAGCCTACCTTCATCCAATCATCGCAGGTGGCCCCTTGGGTGTTGCGCAAGCACCAGGCGGCTCAGCCGTGGCCATGGTTTCAGGTACTGTACCGTGATGTTTATTTTTGTTTAGACTTTAGCTACTCAACAGTCGATGGATCAGTGTGATCAAAATTCAAAAACAGTTGTTACTATACTACTTAACATATCAAGTGGATAGCTAACGACATCTAACGACTTTATTTTTCATTGTTTTCTTACATGGGGTAAGTGTGTGTGGTGGTGGCTGAGTCAATAGCTTTGAGTTGGATTGATGCACATCCTTAGATAGGGTCGCAGTCCGAGTTTCAATTGTCAAAAAAAATGGGAATAGATGGTCACTTTCTGAATTTCGTATTCTATGCAGTGCCGAGCTTCAAACTCCAGACTGAAGACCAAAAAGATCCTACTGCAGTGCCCAGCGGTTAGTTTGCAGTTCTTGGGGATTTGGGGGTTTGAAAAGAAGACGCTGAGTCAGACATACTGAGAATATGCTCTATGATAGAGTCATAATTGAAGAATTTAGTCGCTCTACGGAAGGGTCCCTCAAATGCTTAAGGTAGTGGATGTATCCCCCAAGATTGGAGCCGAGCCCCTCAAATTCCTACGCAGTACTTTCTTACTACCCTACTTGTGCTGTACAAGGTTTTGACCCGTACCCAGTACGGGCCCATTTATATATGGAGCATATTCAAAGAATGGATACGAAGACAGACCGCAAGAGTCATAAGAATTCAGCAGCATGTCAAATCATGGGTTTATGTAATAGTAGCTGTACGTAGTAGTTACAGTCAATATCTTCCAAGGAGTTAGCTGCCTCCATAAATTGTGGCTTCCATCTATTATTGGAGTGGACATGAGCCAAGCTCCCACGCATGAATATGAGTACGAGTCAGACTTTGGGGCACTGGTTTTGCTTGAAAGGACCGTCTGGCTAGTGCGGCTAGTGGCCCTCTTTTCCATCCCCATTTGAGAATATTTCACCTACCCCAAGAAAAAACATATTTCAGCACCTCTCAATCCAGAAGCATGATTGATCCATAGAATACATGTTATCCATTAATTAACCCCAAACAACCCTGGTGAATATCATAGACAAATCAATAGAAGATGATGAACATCCATGGTTTTAAGATATTTTAGGATAGGCTGAAGCCACCTGAGGCCCTCATGTTTCAGGCATGGCATGGCCCGAAGACCGCCGTGCAACGATGCCCGCATCGCCGGCGTTGCTTCTTTCCCCAGCACCGCCACTAGCACCGCTGGCGCCGCTGGCGCCACTGGCGCCGCTGGCGCTGGCAAGCCCCAGCCAGTGGGAGAACCTGGAAATGATGGGAGCTTTGTGGCATTGAAAATTGCCAACAGACTTCAGAAGTATATGGCTATGGATCAATACCTAGTAATACAATTTTTAGGGGAATGAACATCCATTTACCAGCTATTTTGATGTTCACCAGGGGTACAAGGTTTTGACACACTGCCATATAATTGTTCATGGGATGTCAACCGCTAGCGAACGGCATAGAGATGTCTTGAGTACGCCAAACCAAAATTTGGAGGGTGTTTTGAAATCTGTTGAATTGTCATGAATTGTCCATCCTTGTTATGTGCGATGATTCTTTGACAGATGTTGACACCACAAAACGCACAGCTGTCGGAGGCAAGGATGGGCAACAAACATGGAGGTAGAACAGGTACAACCAATAACAATTCATCGAGGCATATGATGGTGCTTTACATGTGTCTGCACATTGAGATGGGTTTGTTTGGAAGTAGGATACCTCCGAAATTGGATGGTTCATCATGATTAGTGATTTTCCACGAAATGGATGTTTTATGATGTTTTGAGGTATATCCATGTATATCCAATTTGCAGACAAACCCATTCATGTGATTAAGTGAATGTACATTGAAATATTTTCCCTGGTTGAGTTGGCTTGGCGAAACCATGACCCCAGGGCTTTATATAACCTGGACATTTTGAACTTAGAAGCCACCATTGCGAAGCAGTCAGTTTCGTCAAAGCAACACTTCCGATAATAAGTTTGGTTCTTCTTGAAACAAAGTTCAAGAACTCCACTGTTCGGTTTACACACTACTTTGGATATTTTGGGATAGTTTTGGTAGGTGACCCAGACACAGCATGATATGCGGTTGCCTTCTAGTGAATTCAGATAGATGCCGAAAACCCACCATTTGTATCCATTTGTACATCATTGGTACATGATTTTCCTTGGTTTTCTCACAGTCCCGGAACCTTCCCGGTCTGTATCTGTCGTTTTCCAAGGGGCTTACAGCGAAGACGCGCCTCGCAGCTTCCATCCCAGGCGTTCGGAACAGCTGAATGGTAAAATCGCGGCTGGGTAGCGGTAAGGATTTTGGGTTTATCCACTTCTTCCCCACTTTGTGAACTTGAGATAACTTGAGTGTGATTTATTAATAATGAGTTATTTGATATTTATTGTGAGAAACACTTAGAATCAGAAGCCATCCCAAAATTTACCAGAAAATGACATTAGGAACCTGCTCCATGAATGGGATAATTAACACATATCGCAGCAATGATCCGAATGCAGGTCACCATTAATATGAAGACTGTTGGCAACTGGGACACACGAATCAAGGTAATCAACAAATGGTTGACAGGCGTTCACAATGATGAACATCCTAGCAGGCATTTTTTGTATTGAGGGCTTGAATCTCATTTGTACCATGGCTCAAAACTGAAGTCAACAGGATCTCAAATAGCATGTCTTTTCTATATCAACAAGGTCCAAGTTTTGGAGTATTAATTTTCATCGTAGTCAAAGGGGAATGGGACCAGTTTGTGATTTAGGCATCACTTCATTTACAACGCATATTTGGAACGATGATTCCAGTTGATGGAACGGGTTGGGAGGGGTAGGTGGCTTCAACATGTCTGATGGCACTAGAGGAAAGGAGCAGATCATTTAGGTGAGACGCAACAAAGGTGACCCATGATGGCCCGTTGTATTTTCGAACATCGAACCCCAATTTTGGAGGTCATAGCTTCGCATGTGATTCATTTTGGTTGTGAACCGTAGCAGTCCGTCTTGTTCCTTGACGTCAAAAGTACCAAAATGTGGACGCCCCGAAAACAACAAACGGGAATTCATGTCCGTCTGTGGTTGGTTAACCAACTTGGAGGATCACAAAGGACACTTTTTCGATCACGTGCGATGATCCCTTAAGGAGAATCGATCCTTCCCTGCCAGGTGGCTCAATCAATTTCCAGAGGCAGGGCACAAGGGTGTGGTTTTCAACTGGAAAAATGTGGGTTCAACCAGTTCAACCATCAACAATTGGGAACATGTAGGTTTAACCCTCTGACATTGCTTTTTAACCTCCAAAATCCATCAAACTGGTGATTTACTGATTTGGGTATGTTCGATATGGGTGATGGGCATAAAATTTATGGCAATGTTCATGGGAAGCTTATTTCTAAGCTTTGGGGTACAGTATCCTATATCCAGGGAAACCGATACGAACAAGAAAATGCAAGACTTGAGCACCAGAATTGAGACTCAAGCTTCAAGATTGTGCTTTGAATGTCGATATATATATATGCCTAGTATATAATATGTACATATTGTATCATATTATATATATATATATATCAGAGATGTATTTCCATCAAGAGTAGGATCTCGAGCTGCCGGACGTGATTTCAATCGAAAGATTGGATCTTCCAACTGCATCACTTTTTCCTATTGCACCTCGGGATATTTTTTGTATTAATCAGGATATCATTATCATACTGTGTCAACTATATATCCATTTTATTGGAAGGTAACCTTCACTGCAGTTTGACAGAACCAATTAGTTTTACGATCGCCAACTATAAAAATATATTGAGATGGCATATGATATAAATTGACATATTATATGCTATGAACTATTACTGTAGTTTGCCAATAATCATAATATATCTCAATGGTTACATTTGTCACAGATGGTTATTGCAACTACATGTAGTATAATGTCAACCCTGGATTAATAAACCCCAAACAGTTGTTTAATTGGGAGGGTACCATTTAAGTATCAGATTATGATTACTGGAGGAGTACCCCCCTAATTAATAAAGTTTATTAATCCGGGGTTGAAATTATCTATTATTACTCGCATACAACCAGAGTTTAGGAACAGAAATTGGACAGGCATGGAGTCACCCAATGTGGTCCATCGCCAGAGACCGCGAAGTCAGGAGCTCATTTCTTGCCCAATTGGGATCTCAAACCAGCCCAAATCAGGATTTCACCAGCCGAAGTTGGAATTCCAACCAAAAACTAACAATTGATTCCAACTTAGTTAACTTTTGTCAGTTGTTAGTTATTGGTTGGAATTAAGTTGATAGTTCACTAACAACAATACATTGGTTTAACTTAATTGCAGTAACGATCCAAGAAAAATCAGCAAGCATGGAATGCGAGAAACGTGTGCGCTCAATGTATTGGAGCAAGAAACGTGGGGGTTGACCAACAAGAAAAGGGTGATACATGGGATATGACCCAACCCACAAGGAACATGTCCATATGACGATCAAAACGGAGAATTGGCGAACAGCCAAATGGGCAACACAGCCACAGAGATGGACAAGAAATGATAGAACACTGACCCGTAATGGTTGATCAGAAATTCAAACACTTTTGATTTGATGTTAAACCATGGTAGAAACAAATGATATGATGGTGCATCAATGATGGATCATAATCATGGTATAAAACAAATGATGGTATAATCATAATAAAACATCATCATGGTATATAACAAATGATGCATCAATCAAACATGATTTGTATCACCGAATCGGAATCGGTAATGCAAAAAGCACAAATTTGGACTTTCTCAGGATAACACAGATGTCGAAATGACTGCCTCCAGTAAACTAAGATGTCGACATGTCGAAAATCCAGAAATTGGAGGGCTGTTAGTTTACTAGAGGAAATTATCCAATGGAAATTATCCAATTTCTGGAAATTATCCAATTGGCCGTTAGAAGCCTCCAAGGGAAACCCGATAATTTCCATGGCTCTGTTAGTTTACTAGAGGGCACAAGCCTGAAGCAGGGCCAAACAGTGGCTCAAGGTATATAATTAGGTCCTTGTGGGGGATCACCATTCACATATATCCTGTTTTATGTAAACAAATGTAAACAATGTGTATATAATTGTTTTGTGTGGGTATGTGTAAATCATACATATGTGTATATATATATGTGTGTGTGATTACATTGCAAGTCATACATGCACAGAGATACCCACGTATACAGAATACATGTGTATATACATATACATACATATACATATATATATAATATGCGCGTATATATACATGTAATTATATATATATGGTGTTCATGTACAATGTATATATATATTTATATACGGTGTTCATTTACATATGTGGCCACATGTATATACATATATATATATGTGCACGTGTTTCTGTTGGTTCTTTTTTCAGTTCCCTGTGCCAAGGTGCCCCGAGCTCCTTCAGCATGGTGCGCATCCAGAAGCTGGAGGTCTGGAAGGGCTCAGTTTTCATTGGCGATTTCGCGAACAGAGAATGGCTTCAACCAACCATTAATCCCATGAAAGTTGATAGTGAATGGTAGTTTACCATTTATCCCACTGTTCATAGCTTCAACCATTCCATGAATGGCTTCAACATTAGTGGATATGAACTAGAGACTACAATGTGATATTTTTTGAAATGATGGATTCTAATGGAGAATCCCATCCCCCGTTCATATGATTTAACCCTACCATTCTACGGTCTCAAATATGTGTAATTTCCGTTAATTTCCATACAATTTCGCATGGTTTTGTGTGGTGTTTTATGTGAGGGGAGGGATTGTAATTGGAATCCTCTGAGATTAAATTGGCTGTGGCTGTAACTGGCCATGGGTAACCCAAAAATGAGGATGTTTCATGATGGTTCATAGGTATACTGGCTGGGAATGTTTCATGGGATTTCGCTGACCATGGGCATCCTTTAACCAACGAATGGGGAGAATGGGATTTTTAAGCATCGTTTAACCAACTAGTATGGAGACACTATGGACTTTAAGTAAGCAACTATTTCCAGTTTGGATGCCTGAAAATCGATGATGTTTGTCCCAATGAATGGCTATTTTAACAGGGAGAAGGATGATTAAACAGTGGATGGAACGGGGTTCCCATTGGTACCCTATGCTTAGACAAAGCCACATATAGACTACATATAGCAACTCCAAATCAGAAAGGGAAGACGTTGGAATTCCTGAAGACTTGGGGGTCAAGATCAGCAATAAATGATCGCTGCTAAGATGTCGACGATGTCGACTTCAATGAAGGACCCAACCCTTGGGATAGCATCACCATCAACCATCAACCAACTGGATCATCGCAGCAGCAACAAAAACATGGCTTCAGTGAATATATGGGTATGGGTCAAAACTGGGTAAGGAAACCCCAGATAATTGGATGGTTAATACATGTTAATACTAAACTAAAATCATTAAATCTGTGGTCCCCAGGCTGGACAAATTTTTGACCCATAGCCATATGTCAATATTCTCCAGTAAGCTGACATAGACACAGAAAAGCCACCGTCCGAATGTAGATTATTTTCCTGAATACATTCATACGTATCCATCTCTACATCAGTTGATTGGAGGGTATCATCTGGTATCATTCTGCAAAGGATCGGATTTTAGCAAAGGTGTGGCAACCCGGAAACATATACCCTCTGGTAATTTAACATAGCTATTGAAAATGGCCATTTATAGTGAGTTTTCCCATTAAAAATGGTGATTTTCCATAGCTATCTTAGTTTACCAGAGGGTAGAAGGGATATAGAAGGGTTTTTCGCGCCTGGAAACGTTGGATCAAATGCGAAGAGATGATCCGGTCGACACTGTGGAAGACTGGTGGACACCATCGTTTGGGTCAAATAGGTGGACATACCCTCTGGTAAACTAACATAACTATTGAAAATCACCATTTTTCATGGGAAAATCCACTATAAATGGCCATTTTCAATAGCTATGTTAAATTACCAGAGGGTACCCTGACAATACAAACGGGACATGTGCCTTTTTGATCCTTTTTGTACTACCGTGCCCTTGATTCTGACTAGCAAATGATCCCAGCTTTGCCCACCGATCCTGCAGGAACAAGCTCTCGATCCCCCTACGTTTGAAGACTTCAGGCGCGGAGCTCTCGAGCCCGGGAACACCTGAGGAGTTTATCTGGAACTTTGGAAAATTGGAGCATGCAAAGATATCCATATATATAGATTGTTTCCTATTCCATAGGATCCATGTATGCTATATATGGTAACATTTACCATCAATTTACCCCCAATGTTAGTATATATACCATACATGGATCCTATGGGTATGGGATATGGTTATAATATGTGCACCTGTGAGGCAATGGTTTACGAACCAAAACTTGATTTGAAAACCAACGAAACCAACGAAACGCTCATGTCATCACACCAAGAGTTATTTTAAGGCCCCAGTTCAAGCCTTCAGAGCCTTCCGTTTCGAAAGTTTCGAAGGACTCTACTGACTCAAAGGTTTGATGGATCACAATCTTACTGGTGGCTTAGTAGGGAATGGGGGAATGGGATGAATATATACTAGTGATTATGGATCATTCCCTCATTCCCTGCGTTTGGCACCAGCAAGTAAACTGAATGACTCGAATAATTCTGATGAATCAGACATACACAAATATACTTGAGTGGTCTTCCGCGGACATTTGTTTCTATATAAACATTTCTTTTCGAGGTTTGCTGCTTGCAAACGCACATGTTTTGCAGGTGAACGAACATGTACGCCTGTAAACGGCATAATGCTGGTTTTCGAGTTTTTTTTTGATGAATCACTGGAAATGTCGTTCCCCCAGATACCCCAGTCAGGGACCCCGAAATGAACAAATCCAGTACTGAACCGGGTGTTCCAACCTGTGCCATGCCTCAACATGGGTTCAAAATATGTTGTGGAGCACATTAACCAAGCGGAATGCTCACAATGGCCCTCCTGACCAGCGCTTCTTGCATGTGGCATTCAGAGATGTAATTTGGAAGCATCTGGTTATGGGAGTGGAAATTGTGTCCTTCGAGTCGAAGGATCTTCAAACTGTTTGGTTCAAAGGATTATTTTTTGAGAGATGAGTTTCTACCATGTCATGTATTTGTCATAGTCTTCGTTCGACAAGACTGAGTTCTGGGTTTTCACAAGGGAAAAGGGAGTCCTTGCCGCAGACTGGAACCACCACAGATTCAGATGCACTCCTATTTTGGATGCTGACCGCCTCCATTCTGCCAAACGAAGTGTCACTTCCATTAGGTTTTTGAGAGTCCTTAAGATGGAACATGGTTTGTTGAGAGGAATGTTCTCCATGTTTTCTTCCAAGAATGTGGTAAACCCAATCCCCAATCATTAAATTGGTGATTGTAAGTGTATAAGACCTCCAAACATTGGAGGTGTATTGGTGCGTTTACCACATCAATCGTATCCTTTATTAGTTATTAGTGTTTTCCAACGATCCCCTTGGGAAAAATGGATTGTCCATGGATCTGGCTTGCAGGTTACCCAACTTGGAGCTGCCACTACTCCAGGAGCCTGCAATCACAGTATGATGTATAGATTCATAGATGTCACCTGAAAAAATATCATTGTTTGGAAGTTTACTGGCACTTACTACTGCATCGTTTGAGGTTTCCAACTGTTCTGTCTATTTTGGGATTGTGTCCTATATGCCTATATATATATATACACACGATAAATCACGATAAATAATAATGAAATATACCATACATACATGTTTATACATGCATACATTGCAGCGCAATACAAATCAAATGCAACAAAGCACATACAAATACGACTACAAATACATATACAATAGCATAGCATTAGCATTGCAGAGTATTGCATAGCATACCATACATTATGTACATAGAATGCATACAATACATGTAATACATAGATTACATACCATACACACAATAATTACATTGCATGCATTACATACATGCATACATTCATACATTGTTTTGTATACGCACATGTACGCGGACATGTACATATACATGTCCATATACATAAACTTGTACATATATATATACCTATATATATATTGATTTACATGTGTGCAATGTTCTGCCCGGATTTGCAACAAAATCTGGGATGTTTGGTACGAATCCAATTCACTAACAAGTTGTCACTGTTTGGAAGGAACCCATCCTAATTAATGTAATCATCCCGGATTCATTTTATTTTGAGTCCTATGCGGTTGGTGCTGGCGTATGGCTCGCCATGTACCTGTATCCTCAAGGCTTAACAACCCACAGGTTGTTGCCCTTTTTCCGGGAAACCTTGATATGAGTTGCAGGTAAAATCCCTATATATTGGTAATCGATTGGCCACATATTTGGTCCCAACGATAAGTTTGGCTGGTTTTGTGGCATTGTTGCAAGTCATAGCGATATGTAGATAGATAGGATAGGATAGGACAGGACAGCAGGACAGGACAGGATAAGAAAGATAGATAGATAGATAGATAGACAGACACCTGGATAAACATCTCCAACCAAACAACAGAACAGACCGGGAACAGGAGCCACCAGTAGTGATACAAAGCACGGAAAAGAAAAGTGAAGGAGGCCTAGTCCGGTGTGGATCAAAAATGGACAAATCTTGCTGAATGGTGGATGAATTTTAACGGATTTACAGGAATCCACAGTACCTACAGATTTTGTTTGACTTCAAGACGGCTGAACATAGACTATACCGTGAGTACTTTATTTTTTCGCAGGGAAACGAAGAGTGGCCATAAAAGCTGGTGGTTGTTTCCAGATGGCATTGAATAAGCAGCGGTCCTTTTTTCACTGGGAGTTGATTTACTCAGACAAGACATGATTTGTCAGATATTCTAGTTTTCCCCCATTATCTCCCATAAATGATGCTGAATGAGGAAGACGTTCCGGATTGGGTGTTCTTTATGATTGGGCAGCTATTGGACTTCAGCCAGATTGTCTATGGTTCGACACCAAATATCCAGGTGCAGTGCGAAGTTAAAAAAAATCATTGGAGCCATCTGCAGATGAACGTTGACATACTTTTACCACTACCATTCTATATCATTATGGCTCATTAGGGGTCAAGTCTCAGTGCGCTTGTGAAAATGCGAGTAGTAGACAACAGATTTCATGGGCAAAATCCTGCTACATAAGGTTTTACGATTATATAAATATACATCTCATATATATATATACACATGTGTGTGTATAATAATAGCATTTCACTGGACTACAATGCAGTTGCTTACCTTGGGATGTATCCTACCTAGTTCACATTCCGAAGTCACAGGCCATGCCATGCTTCCGGCGATGGTTTCACTGCTTCGATGGGGTTTAATGTACTGAGGTGCACTGGACTGTCATGTCATTAGCAGTGTCTGAATTCCTCCCTTCTGTACTTGAATAGTTGGGATACCCTATGGTAAACTGTCCCATAACTATGGAAAATCACCATTTTCAATGGAAAAATCCACTATAAATGGCCATTTTCCATAGCTATGTTAAATTACCAGAGGGTATATTATGATATATTGGGATCCTATGAGAAAAATTATGGGCTCGGAACGCCTGAGGTGGCTTTCACTTCATCCACTTCATCATCCAACATCTACACCTTGAAAATTCATGAAAATCTAGCATTCCCCACGGGATCTCCAAATTAAACCAAGATCCAACTGAGTATGTTGGTGGTTGTCAAAGAAACACAAGAAAATTCAGAAGATTCACCTGATTTACCTGATTTATCTGTAAAATGGGACCTCCATTACCTGGTTTGTCTACTGCACCCCGAGGGCTTGCATTATGTGGCGATGAGATTGTTGGGAGCGTCGGAGCACAGGCTAAAGGCTGGCAATGGGTGATCTGTGAGGCTTTTTTGGAGAAAATTGGGGAGCCCCATTCTTTTACAAGAGGATTCACAATTTTTCAGACCTATGTATCATGATGATGATTATTATTATTATTATTATTCACAATTTTTCAGTGGATTTCCTGTTGAAATGGGGTCCAGCCATCGATTGGTGTCTGAATACTGAGGGGGTTTTCCACCCTCAGATTTGATGATTAAAGCCTCACCATTTTCCCGATCAAAAGGGCCGTTTTTTTGTGGTATCCACACCAGTCTACCCTCTGGTAATTTAACATAACTATGGAAAATCACCATAGAAATAGTGAATTTTCCCATTAAAAATTGTGATTTTCAATAGCTATGTAACAAATTACCAGAGGGTAGACGAGCCAAAAAATGTGCATCCGCTTAAAAGATGATATATTTCTTGTCCGACCCTCGCAGGAAACCGCAAAGGGAATACCAGCAAAGCTACTGGCAGCTCGGACCTGCAGCTGACATTGTAGATATCACCATCATTCACCATCATTACCAAAGCAGTCAATTTCAGGACCCATGTCAAGTCATGTCACCCAATAATTCCGGGTTGTCTGAAACTTGGGAACCCCGCTGCATCCCATTGTTTTCTCATGTTTTCTCTTTCAAATAGCCACACATTTGGAGTACTTATCCTCCATGACTTTGCGAGAAACTCCATGTGAGTAACTCACAAGAGTTGTAGTTATCAAGCCACAAAAAGTCACAAAGGATATGAATATGGAGTCAGAATTGGCTAAAATTCGATGGTTTTAATGTTAATTAAAGATGACCAAAATATGCGGTCCCCTGACGATGCAGCCCTGCGATGGTCCCCTGAAAAACATTTGGGCGAGTTGACTATTGGGGGTCCTACAAGATCATACAACATCGTTCATAGAATGGGAATCGTTGTATTGTAAATTGGATTGTATGTTACATTATATTACATTAATTCTGTGTTACGTTGTATATTACATCGTATATTACGTTGTATATTACATCGTATATTACGTTGTATATTATATATATTACATCGTATGATATGTTACATTGTATACTACATTGTATGATACCATACATGCTATATTGCATGCTATATTACATTGTATAATACACTACAGAACAACAGCATATCGGGGAATAAGCAGCAGATGGATGTGTGTGAAACATCTGAATAGATGTAAAACTTCTACATGTTGACGAGTTGACGGTCTCGTTTTTTTGTTTTTTTTCTGCTGTTATTTTCACAGCAGGGGGTGGATGCATGGTCAGACACTGCCTTTCCATGATGATATGACGGAGGGACGCCTTCGTCACGTACCTGCGATTTCAACATCATTTTCTTGCAACCGGCTAAGCCTTGAACCGGCGTGACGTGAGTTTTGAGTCTCTGCCATTTCATTTCCTGTACGGTTTTCGCAATCTGTCAAGGTGGGAACGATTTGGCTTAGTTGAAAGGGAAGGGTCAGCTTCCAACTGATTTCATCTAGCATTGACTATGGCGATGGTAGCTTCTTGCTTCTCTGTGGGTCTTTTCACCGACCCATTCCTGTCAGGTGTAATTGGAATGTTTTTGCACGCAAGGTGCATTCCACATCAAAATTCGCAATGACAGTTCTGAGTGAGCAAGTGTGTGTAAGACTGGCCCGTGATATCTTGAACAAGAAGGAGCTCCTTTTTGCAGATGTGTAGCGACTTACCTAACGACCAAAGCCGATAAATGGTGGAAAGACACAAGGGAATTGTTCCAAGATCTCCAAAATGAATGTGCTCAAATCTGATGGTTGCTCAGGGGATTGCACAGAATTTATGCCATAAATAGTGGTTACTCTATCTGATAGATTCTGGAATTCCAGTGTGTAAAAAAAAACAAACTGTGCCCAAATCATTTCATTTGCGAACTGGAAGCCCACGACTCCAGTCGTAGCTATATTTGCCATAGTGGAAAAAGGGAGCATATAATGTTTAATCCCAGCAGAGGGTAGTTGTGACCCTGATTACATTGTTATAACCACACAAGAATACAGAATAGCCCATAAAATCATGAGAACCATGGTATGATTCCCATATCTAATAATGTGTTTTTTTTTTAACCAGAGTTATAGCAATAAAATTCACCCAGAAGTTGAAGGTAAATGTGAAACCAGAAGCCATACTGGATCCATCCATTGGGGACAAACTAACTGGTTGGTGGTTTGGAACATGAGTTTTATTTTTCCATAGATTGGGAATTAATCATCCCAACTCACTTTCATATTTTTCAGAGGGGCAGGTCGACCACCAACCAGCTACAGTAAAGATTAAAATCCAAAGAGTTTGGTGTGAAATGCACATGGACCCACCATGGTCGGCATGGTCAAACCATCCGCCAAGGTGCCGAGAGGTGGAGCTAGGGAGCTGGGGATGTCCTGGTTGGTGAAAAATCCCCGAGAAGTGGCGTTTTTTTAGGATGTTCCATTGCCATGATTGATTATCAGAGCGTAGAACCTGTGGATTTTTTATTATGCACCCCACAGTTTTGTATACGGGTCAATCAACCCAACTGCAAGTTATGTTCCTAAGAAATAACCCAGTTGGATTAGTGGGATATATCCCAATTATGGTATATAGAATGTATGTACATATATGGACTCGCTTGCCAACTGGGATGCACCCCGAATTATTGCACAGAACCAGTGAGATATTTCGATAACAATGGGTATCAGGGGATAGATATATAAATTATAACTGGTTGGTGGTTTGGAACATGTTTTATTTTTCCATATATTGGGAATAATCATCCCAACTGACTAATATTTTTCAAGATGGTTAAAACCAGCAACCAGAAAAATACCAGGATAGTTGCGCGTGTCCGAGAATAGGGTATCGGTATACACTCCAATGGCAATCTTATTGAACGGAAGTGGATCATCAAACATCATTTTTTTTGGATACCGGATGTTCAAAAAGCAAAACCAAAACCATGAAATGTCACATTGATTTATGGTTTGTCGACTTCCAATCAATCATGTGACTTGAAAAACTTGGGTTGTCTATTTTCAAATACTTTCTGAAGGTGATTTTGGATGATTTAGGTAGGGCTTGACTATCATCAACCATGGAATCCACTGATGGTCGAGTTGTAGTAAGAAAAACACATTTGAAACTATGGGTTCTTCAGCGGAAGCACCAAGCAGAAATACGGTGGATCCAAAGTCCCAAAGTCGGTGCATCCCCGGCCAAAAAGTGCCTTGTTCAGGTTCAAACGTTCCGAGGAGACAGGTGCATCCGCGGCCACGGGATCGTGGCAATTTGCTTGTGGGATGGGTCAAAACCATTCAAAACCATTCAAAACCATTCAAAACCTATTGTACCTAATATGTTGTTGTATGTGGTTTTTGATGAACATCCATGAAAATCAGCTACTCAGAAGGGTGAACACAAGGGTTTTGGTGGGTTTTGATGCATAGCCATGCAGCCATACATTTTTGTTCATCTACCACAATACTGAGTAAGTTTGTTGAAGGATATTCACATTTATTCTAACCACATGGTGGAGAAGCACGATACCAGCAAAAACCTAACTTGGATAGATGAATCGAAAGGGGTATCTAAAATGTCATTTGAATGGATCTGAGATGATCTGAGAGATCCCTGTTTTTCTTAAAACCCAGACAACAGAACCAACCAACTGGTCATGATGAAGTTCTGCAGTGATACAGTCAGCAACGCAGAGAATTCCAGTCATAATTTAACCTTCGGAACTTGGAACTCAAAATAGTAACATTATATCATGCTATATCTAAAACGCGTCCTATGTCTTGCGGACCCACTTTAGATTTCAGTGAAGATACCAACACCATATGCATAGATCTATATGGAATGGCAATTCAACCGCTTGTACTGGTTGGTGCTCGAATTCGTCCCAATTCTATACTCAAGGCACAGCTCAACAGGCTCACCCGTCTTGCAGATTGGCATCAAATGGCCATATATCCGGAAGAAGAAACAACGTTGGCTAGTAGCCTCGGGTAAACCAACATATATAGCGAACTGGCAAATCACCATGTGAAACATAGGTAAATCAACAATGGCCATGTGAAACATAGCTATTTTGACATAACCAGAGGGTATTTGGGATGGCTCTTTGACGTACCATATCCTGCAATTGCCATGGCCATTGCCATGGGGATCCATGGGGGGTCTTGGATTGAATTTGCGACCGATTTCCAGAAATGAACCATGTAAAACCCATGGTAAAACCCTATAAAGCACTATAAAAACATATAAAAACCATGTAAAACCCATGGTAAAACCCTATAAAGCACTATAAAAACATATAAAAACCATGTAAAACCCATGGTTTCCCACAGGTGTTCCCCTTCCAGCAGTACGAGTGAAATTCCGCACGACGACGACAGGTGACGTTTTTCAAGACTGGCTGGAGTCCAATCGTGCTCGACTTCCCAAGGTCACGTCTCGCTGGTGGAACTGGGACTTCTCGCTGGGAATCCATGATCAATGGGGGAGCTGTCCAGCGCTTGCTATGTTTGATCAATGGGAGGTACGTTACTACCAAACAAAAGGCCATTTTTTGGTTCCTCAAATGGCCATTGAGTACTGAGTACCGGAGAGACAATGGTAGATACAATACATCGTATGAGTAGAGCATAGAGTTCGTAATAGATACAAGATGATACAAGACGATATGAAACCATACGAACTACCTGTTTGGCTTAAATTGAGATGGCACGACGTGCCAGTAGCCCGGGCTCAATGATTGACATCTTTTTAGGCCCTGTTGAACATGGAAGACACCCGAAATCCCGGGATGGACGGATCACCTAGATTCTCATACCAGCTAGTATTTGGTTCAAAACCAAAGTTAAATAAGTTAGTTACAAGATGCTACAAGTTAAGTTTATGACCAACCACTGCAACTAGTACTGTGTTGTATCTGGTCAAAAACCAAATCTTGTTCTAGGTTTGTAAGCACTTGACAATAGATGGGATATAAGGCTGAACGCCAGAGGTAGGACTTACGACCATAGGATAGATATGAAGCAGTTGCTTATGCTGCGACGTGTTTTTTTTCCAGTATGGACTTAAAAGTTAAACCACTGCCAGCGCTTGGATGCTGCTAACTCCTGAAAACTCATATGGGCCTCGAAAGCTAGGATTGGCTTCGATGAATTTCCTGGTATAATTTCTATCACGTTCGCAGTGCCGTGAAATGATTGCTGCAATCCCAAGCATTTTCTGCCATCCTCGATCCACATTTGGTGGTTTGAACTTTATATAGTTGCTGTTACATCATGGTCTGGTTGGTGGTTTGGAACATTTGGATTATTTTTCATATATTGGGAATGTCATCATCCCAACTGACTTTCATATTGTTCAGAGGGGTGGCTCAACCACCAACCAGTTTTGCTATGCATGCAGATATCCTGAGTTTTCAGGAACATGAACCGCCCACAAAAAAAAGGGGCTGCCAGGGTGACGGGAGCCGCATGAGTGAGGACATGTTGAAGAGTTGCTTGGCGTTAAATGGGGTGGACTGTGTGTCACCAACATGAACCAATATTAACAAAAAGTGACCAACATGAACTGCTTTGTGGTTTCAAACATTTGTTATTTTTCACAATAATATATGGGACAATCCTTCCCATTGACTTTCATATGTTTCAAGATGGTTATTGCACCACCAAGCAGTTAACCAACATTGACCAACAATTATCAACACTTGCCAACAAACCTAGGGGATGTCAACCAACCTGCGGAGTATTTTATCAACACTAGATACTGATTTGACAACAAAAGGATACATAGGTATGGGGCAACAACAAAACAAGCCCAAAATTGGGTTGGTGCTCCAGATTTTCTGTTGAGATAGAAATAGAATGACATAGATAAGAAAAGAACTTGAACATACTTAAAATGCAAATCTAAACAGCACCGACACAACTGGAGGACTGGTGTATACATATATATATATAATTATATATACACATACAAATGTATTGTGTATGATGTTATGCAATCATATATCTACATCCGTACGCGCACACATGCATGATATGTATTGATATGTCATGTGTATATATATTTACTTTTTATATACTTTATATATATATACTTTATATACATATATATACTTTATATACATATATATATAATATACTGGATATCATATACATGCATACGTACGTACGTACGCACGTACATACATACATACATGCATGCATACATACATACATACCTACCCAGAAATATGTTCATACATATCTACTATGCATTATATAGATATAATATCAGCACCTCACAGTGCCAGATGGGGAACGGATGGTGAAAAAAGCCATGGGTTTTCGTAAAAACATTGCCACAACATGGTGGTAAAACATGGTAGTTGTCACGGAGAAGACCATGCGTTTTGATTGAAATTTTGTGGAACTGAGAATCTTCATGAGCTTTTAACCAAAATTTAATCAATATTAATGGAATAAAAAAACATTACCAACTTTTAACCCTTGGAGATCGGGATCAGCAAGACGTCCGGTGGCTTCAAACTTCAGAGGAACGTCAACCCGGATGGGATGATGAATCTCACAGCCAGTGGAAAAAGGAGGTCTAAGGTTTACAAACCTGTATTTGGGATGATGAATCCCGAATTGCAATGTAATAATCCCAGATGATAATAGGTTTCATATAATTTGAAGTTGATGAATCCCGAATCGGAAAGCTAAGCGCTTAAATCTATTGGGACATCGACGTCGGGCTGTCCAGGTCTTAAAGAGGGCTTCAAGACGCGCTATCGTCGATTCCAAGAGGTGGCCCCCTTAAGGGCCTTTCGGGCGGGCCGGAGCGCGGCTGGAGAATGTGGAAAACCTTAAATCGGTTTTTGTCCACAACTTAATCTTTTGCTTTGCATTGGAATTTATGTATATATATATAAACAGAATACTAGCCAGCCAAGAACTTTGTCTTGCAGTCTTGCAGGATTAATTAACCAGGTAATCACCCTCCAAGGCAAATGATTGATTTAGTTAAACAAGACACCCATTGTTGGGGTACTGCCGAGCCCCACAAAGATACTGCATTAGAAAAATCCGTTTCAAAGATAGTGGTATATGAAGAATGTTACCGGCAGGGTCCATTTCAAAGGAAACTTGAACATGTCTGCCACGTAGCACGTAAAATCAGTTTCTGATTCATAAGATACTGCTGGGATCTGCTGAGTAGATTATGACGTCACTGTTCTCACTGGAACGATGGTGAAGGGAATTATCCCAAGAAGAAGCCCAGTTTTTCTGATTCGTGAAGTATTATAATACATTCAACATCTGATCACTTAGCTGGTTGGTGGTTTGGAACATGGCTTTTATTTTTCCCATCATATTGGGAATGTCATTATCCCAACTGACGAACTCCATGATTTTTCAGAGGGCTAGGTCAACCACCAACCAGAAAAGTGACAAACATTATAACCAACACTTAACCAACACTTCACCACCAACCAGTTAAGAAATTTACCCAGACACAGCGCTCAGTTTTCACCGCTCCAGGAGTTGCCCTTCTTTTCAGCACAGGATGGGGAAGACCGGCGGTGACCGGCCGAGCTCCCGGATATCGAGAGATGTTACGCCGGTTATGGGGGTTCCATAGTCATGGGTACCCAATAGCTGGATGGTTTATATATGTTTATATGGGAAATTCCTATGAAAATAATGGATGATATATATTTATGTTATATCCATCCATTTGATCTCCGTTTGATCTCCATTTGCACAGATGATTCTCCAAAGAACGCGAGAGGAGTCGAATTTGTGACCTCTGTTCGTTCTTCCAACATCCTGCAGCCACCGAAGCGATTGGATTGGAAATCTGAGGGTTACCAGGGTTACCCTCTGGTGCTGGCTGGAAAATCTCCAATTCGGTTCAATGATGTTCCCATTATACCCAATGTCCCATTTAACTGCGCATTTACCGATGATTTTCCCATAGTTTCCGATTTTACGAACTGCTCATTTAGTTCCGGTGGTTGTCCAGCTAGAAATGTTTGATGACACCTGAGGGTATTAACCAATATTCCATTAATATTCCCTTAGTAGTCCATTAATATTCCATATATCCCCATCATACTGTATCACCATTTACAGAGCTTTCTGTGATTCTGAGATTTATGATTCCTCATTGATAGAGTCGAAATATGTTCTTTCCATGATATTCCATCACCATGATCTCACCATTTTATCAGAACCCGCTGGAAAATCATCTCTCTGGTTTCCGCGACGGGTTGGAGGATCTCTACGAGAACAAGATCATGTTCTCCCACTACGGAATGAAAATCCGCAATCAGGTGCCATATGGATCCATATGGTGCATCCTTATACCCAACTGTTGGTTATGAAATAGGAAGCTATACTACCTGGTGGGTTTTTTTTTTCGCTAACCCATCTTAGGGAAAGCTATCAACCAATCAGTAGAATGAGATGGGATAAGGATATTTTTCATGGCTCAATTTGGGTTTGTCTGAAAAAGTGGTAATTAGTCCAATACATATGGCCATGTCTAACCATGAAAATTGATGATGAACCATGAAAATCTTGGGTACCCTACCTTCAGATAAAACCATTTTGATTCAATTGGGAAAAGCTGAAAAATTGTTGGAATACATGTTAAGTGAATAGGAACAAATAGGAGTCCGACTGATTTGCAGTAAATCCGATCGGGCTCACATGGACCTCATCATTTGGGATCAGAAAAAAAATTGCCCCAACCTGTTGGTTCATGTTGTGTGGTGCTGATTGTAAATTGATGCTGGTTGATATGGGAATGTGTAGTGTAGTGATCTATAGTGTAAGATAGTGTAAGTGTTTACTGTTCTTTCTCGAAAGATGGTAAGGTGTCGTATGGTGCTGTCAAACATCTTTGGTTGGTGTGCTCAAATATGTTTAGTTGTATCCTGGATAATCCCAAGTGCTTCAAAGACGTCAACGATTGAGGGTGATTTCTCCCAGATCTGCCAGGCCAAAAAGGACGCCAAAGGTGCGTCCGAGAAGATGGTGAGGTGAGATTTTTCGACTGGGGACTTTGCCAAAGTGAGCAGAAAATCGAAGAAAAACTGAGCAGCTTCAAAAATCCCCAGGAAAGGATGTACTGAAGTCAATAGATTCAATAGGTTTTTTGAACCTCCAGTCGACTTTTTGGGACTTAGTGGGACCATTTGTGGGAGAAGAAGGGGGGAAAATTGATCCGGGTGGGTGGCTGGTTTTGTGGAAACCTCCCTTGGTTGTTAAGGGTGACAGTGATCCACTATGGTGATACAGAACTAAACTGAGGATAAACTGAGGTGTTTGATTATTGGAGCATCCATTCCATTTTGGGCAGTTATATACACCCTATTGACCCAACTCCAACTAAAAACATCACCAAAACCCAGGGTGCCAAAATCGATCCATCCATATTTGATCCCTTTGAATATCAGTGGCTTGGGTTGCAGGAATTTTTACAGTAAGCCCCATATTTGCTGGGAAAACACATGGAAAAAACCCACGGTTTCCCCATAAATTTGTCCTTTCAACCATCCCTATGGAGCCAAAAGTGATATTCTCATTGCATCCCCATTATGGTTGATACCCTCTGGTAAATAAACATAGACCCTGAAAATCACCATTTTTTTAATGGAAACTAGTCCAACCCCTATCTGCCAGGGTCTATGTTAATTTATCAGAGGGTAATCTTATTGATTTATCCACGGCAACAGCTTTTTGTTTGCAAGGTCCAAGTCTGAAAAGTCTAAGGGTGCGAAATCGCAGGCGGGGCGCCCTTCTCGGGTGGATTGGGGGGTATGAACCTCCAAAATTGGAGGTGTAGGGCATTGGGTTTACCACATTAATTACTTTGTGTGTTTGCTATAAATGGTAATATATTGGAATATGATGGAATATGTTTTTATATATATATATACACTAATAAGCTTAAAAAAAGCAACTTTTGACAGCGTATCCAAGATTGAGAATTACTCAGAAACATGGAGCTGGTACCCACAAAGGAATGCGTACTTTCCTAGCAGTGAGTGAGGAACGACGCAGACCTTTCCGATTTTTGCTCGGATGTAGTATTCCCATATTATTATTCCATTGGTTTACAGTTAGTAAGTATTTCATAACATCGTATTAGTATGTATTAGTAGTACTAGTATCTCCCAGTACTTGCTATGAATTGTGACTTGACTGCCTCAGTCTTGGTCTTGTCGTGTGATTAATTTTTAATGACATCTAAAAAAGATCACCAAGATGTTCAGTCTGATACACCCCGGTAAACAAAGATGGTGGAAATCCCAAATGATTCCACTGTTGTTGTTTTTCCCCGAGTGCAGTTCTCAGAGGGTATCAATTATTAGGGCCTTTATTTCGGGACCGCTATCTTCATGTGGGCCATGGTCAAAAGATGGATTGGGGATGCTGATTAATCCATTCATAGGGATTCATATACATCATATAGCCATTGAAAGTATTCCCATTCTGGGATGGATGACCATAACCTGACCATGGCACATAATTACCATCTGGTTATTTAAGATAGCCATGGAAGCCATGGCCCATAGAAATAGATGGTTTACCGTTCTTAAAAATGGTGATTTTCCATGGCTATGTTAGTCATAACCAGAGGGTATACCTCAGGTTGGTCCGTTGTTGTCCCCTAGTCAATGGTCATTCCAGGATCCAACAGATGGAGGTACGTAAACGTACCATATTTCTGGCCATATTTTGTGGGTATATTATTCTGGTATAAGGCCATAGTACCATATTTCTGGCATATTGTGGTACTATTTCTGGCCATTTCTATAAGGCCTATTTCTATTCCCAAAAACAATAGGCCTGAACAATAGGCCAAACATCTATGGAATCGGTACCTCCAATAAAAATTTAACATAGCTATTGAAAATGGTCATTTATAGTGGATTTTCCCATTAAAAATGGTGATTTTCCATAGTTATGTTAGTTTACCAGAGGGTATACCATGGTATACCGCATTTTCAGAAAAACCCATACATCATGTTGTTGGTTATATAATTATATACCCTATAGATCCCTATAGTAATTATCATTAATTATCCCATTACAGCCCCATTTATTCATGCTTAGATTCCCATTATACCAATGGAACACCAGTCTGGCCATCGACGATCGAAGGCGCAGAACCAGAGCCTGCACTCGGTGAGAGCGCTCGCCACCATGTGGCCTGGCGGCGACGGCGGTGAATTCACAGCTGAGTGACTTTAGATATCTATGGTTAATGAATGGTTAATGAATGGTTAATGAATGGTTAATGAATGGTTAATGAATGGTTAATGAATGGTTAATGAATGGTTAATGAATGGTTAATGAATGGTTAATGATGGTTAATGATGGTTAATGAATGGTTAATGATGGTTAATGATGGTTAATGATGGTTAATGAATGGTTAATGATGGTTAATGATGGTTAATGATGGTTAATGAATGGTTAATGAATGGTTAATGAATGGTTAATGATGGTTAATGATGGTTAATGATGCTTATGATGCTTAATGATGGTTAATGATGCTTAATGATGCTTAATGATGCTTAATGATGCTTAATGATGCTTAATGATGCTTAATGATGCTTAATGATGCTTAATGATGCTTAATGATGCTTAATGATGCTTAATGATTTAATGATGGTCAATGATGGTCAATGATGGTCAATGATGGTCAATGATGGTCAATGATGGTCAATGATGGTCAATGATGGTCAATGATGGTCAATGATGGTCAATGATGGTCAATGATGGTCAATGATGGTCAATGATGGTCAATGATGGTCAATGGGTCAATGAATGGTCAATGAATGGTCAATGAATGGTCAATGAATGGTCAATGAATGAATGAATGGTTAATGAATGGTTAATGAATGGTTAATGAATGGTTAATGAATGGTTAATGAATGGTTAATGAATGGTTAATGAATGGTTAATGAATGGTTAATGAATGGTTAATGAATGGTTAATGAATGGTTAATGAATGGTTAATGAATGGTTAATGAATGGTTAATGATGGTTAATGATGGTTAATGAATGGTTAATGAATGGTTAATGAATGGTTAATGATGGTTAATGATGGTCAATGATGGTTAATGATGGTTAATGAATGGTTAATGAATGAATGGTCAATGAATGGTTAATGAATGGTTAATGAATGGTTAATGAATGGTTAATGAATGGTTAATGAATGAATGGCAATGATGGTTAATGAATGGTTAATGAATGGTTGAATGGTCAATGAATGGTCAATGAATGGTTAATGAATGGTTAATGAATGGTTAATGAATGGTTAATGAATGGTTAATGAATGGTTAATGAATGGTTAATGAATGGTTAATGAATGGTTAATGAATGGTTAATGAATGGTTAATGAATGGTTAATGAATGGTTAATGAATGGTTAATGATGGTTAATGATGGTTAATGATGGTTAATGATGGTTAATGATGGTTAATGAATGGTTAATGAATGGTTAATGATGGTTAATGATGGTCAATGATGGTTAATGATGGTTAATTTCATGATCTATGTTTATCATTGTTTATCTATATAGTTTAGATACGACCATCATTAACCATATGATCTAACCATTAACCATCATTGATCTAACCATTAACCATCCTTGATCACCATGATCCACCATTAATTCCATATATCTGGGTAAATTATAACGACCTCACTGCGACCTCACTGGAATCCTGGCTAATAAGGGAAATCATTCCCAAATGGCCTTAATTCAGGTAGTGAAATATTATAATTTACCCAGATATATGGGGGGTTCCTTAAATGGAGGTACCCCAATAGCTGGATGGTTGATTTTCACGGAAAAACCGAAATTTTAGGAAATCCCCATATATAGATACAGAGACTGATAATGACGGTGTTTATATATATATACATATAGAATATATAATATTACATATATATATATATATCAATGGCGTGACCACTGTCCACTAGCCATACCTGGGGCACCTTGAAGTTGATTGGGATTCTAACTCCAGTTATTGGGTCTAGGTGCCAGTCACTGTTGGGGCTGAGTATCTGATTTCGAGAGTTGCAAGTCGAGATGATTTTGCTTGGAAGGTCGGGCCCCATGAACACCGTCAACATCAGTCAACAATTGTCTGCAGTCCTTGTGCAGGATTCGCACGACGCCAGGTGCAATGCAATCAATGGGCCCCTACTAAGGATCATTAAGGATCTCTGGGTTCCGACGTTGCATATCCAATGAACATCTTGTAGTAACATATGTATATACATAGTATTATACATGTATTATACATAGTATTACACCAAAATCCGAGCTGTTCTTCAATGTCCACATTTCAACAGTAGGTTCTACCACTAAATGAACACTTCGACCCCAAACATAGCCTTTATAAATGCCGAAGAAAGGAATATTCCTCCCCTATTCGGGGTCCCCTCATGACGGGTCATCATGCCGACCAAGGCTTCAACAATCTCACGACAACCATCCACATGCGCGCGAGTTTTACAAATATCTTGGCAGGTGCGACGTAACGTGACGGTTTATTGGAGGAGCTGGAACAGCTGAATCTTTTAGGAAACTGACTGGTGTAAATGGAGATATGGATTTTGTTCTGAAGATCGGGCGCAAAATCTCACATTCGATCATCATTTTCCTGATTAATTATATAAGTTGGAAAAAAATTGGAGTACCCCAAGATTCCCCTTTGGTGGACAAGACCTGATGCATGTTTCGGTTTGACCACGGGGAAACCCGTTCCCACAGATGAAACATGATGAAACTTACATATATATAGCGTGTCGAAGAAAAGCTCTGTTCTTCCACTTGCATCACCCAATATTTTTAGGGGCACAGAGTCCTCTCTGTTTTATTTGAACTTGACTTGAGGGATAGGATTGCCAGTTTGTTTTGCTGTTTACACTGGGAAAGCAATTTTCAAGGGGGTTCCAATCTGTGGTGCTCCACTTTTGGTTGCATCGACCATCGCTTCGATTGGGAATGGCTCAAAGTCATGTTCCCTTGGGTGGTTGCTTACTATGAATGACTACTTTGGGCTGGCACCCCATTTACGAGGAGCCAGAGCCAAACCCTCCAACCCAGGTTTGATTATTTTTTCCCGAGAGCGTTTGAGCGAAGGGTTCTTCTAATAGTGGAGGTCTGCTATACATCTTCATATGTTCACATCTTCATCACATCTTCATCACATCTTCTCATCTTCTCATCTTCTCATTTTCACATCTTCTCATCTTCACATCTTCATCACATCTTCACCCCATCTTCACCACATCTTCATCACATCTCCATCACATCTTCATCACATCTTCATCACATCTTCTCATCTTCACATCTTCTCATCTTCACATCTTCTCATCTTCACATCTTC